ACTTTCGAAAAGATTCACCAAATCCTGCAAATCCACTAGAAAACCAACATGCAATCCATCCAAAAGTTCATACATTCATCAAACATCAAGAAAAACACCTAATTTTCAACATGCAACTTCAAATCCAAGAAAAACCCCAAATTTTCTTCAAAACCCGGAAACCCCAAAAACTCCATTTTTCACTACAACAGCTCATCGATCAACAACCAGCTAATGAGTTTCTAAGACTCATTCTCAACCAAACACAGCAACAAAACTAGCTTCCCTTACCGTGGTGCAAGAATCCGAGCTCCAGGGAAAAAAGCAAGCTCAATGGAGAAGAAGAAAACGGAAGGAGAGGAAGAAATGGCGAAGGAGAAGAAGCTCCGCACGACTCAGCAAATTCTGCCTAGGCTTAATCAGCACCTAAGCTCACCAAAGAAGAAATTTGCAAGTGAGAACAGAGAATGAGTGAGAGTTTTGAGTGGGTGAGAGTGAGTGAGAAAAGAGAGGGGGGAAAAGGGTTTCACAGTTCCTCTTTGAAACTTGAAACTTCAAAAGTATTTTTTCCATGCGCTATATCTCAAGTTCTCAACAAAGAAAAATGTTAAAATACCTAATATTTAAACAATTAAATTCTAAAATAAAATTAACTCCTACTAAGTGTTTCACGACAAAAAGCAAAATTTAGAAGTATAAAATATATTGATAATTGTCTAAATTAAATAAAAAAATATATACATATTTGACAATTATTAGTTACATGTACCTACTTACACTCCTAAAAATATGCATGAGAGATTGTGTTTTCCTTTCTTAAGAATCGAAGAATATAATGACTCACTAAAATATGGAAATAAAAAATAATTACATACTGTCCTTTTGTAATAATTGTAATTAATTATAAATACAAATTTTATAATTAGATTTCAAATAATTAAATTATATTATAATGATAATTAATTAATATCTTTTAATTATATTTAATATACAAAAATCATATGCACCAACAAATAATTAGTGATATGTTAACAAATTATATATTTTATATATATGCTAATTATGTTTTTTAAGCATCATATTAAAACATCATTTGAAATTTATGGTGAGATTATAACATTTTTATAGCTTAATTTTTTTTAAAATACTATTCTTAACAAATTAAATTAATTTTGTATATTTAAGTACACTAAATAGGAATAAAAAATAAAAAAAATACTGTAGTAATTTAATAGTTGAAAATGAAAAATGTAAGCCTTTAATAATTAGAATAGTTAGAAGTATGAGAACTTAGGTTGAATCCTCATTGTTACCATCTTTATTATGTTTCCTATCTTTAAAAAAAATGAAAACAAAGAACAATCTGTCAAAGTAAACATTCCCTAAAATTTCTACATGTTGTTACTAACTACTTTCTTGGAAATTTTCAAAGTTAATTCGTAATAGATTTTGGACCGCACCATGTGTAACATCCCAAATTTTATTTAATGAAAAGAAATAT